TTTGGCCGTTAGAGGTTATATTCCATAGGTGTGACGTGACTCTCTAAAAGATGTGAGCTGTTATTGTCATAGTGCACAAAAGGGTCACGTTGGTAACGATTCCCAACTTGCGCTTCCCAAACTAAGAGTCTTGGGCTCGAAGGTCCGAGAAATGAGGTCCGACCTGGGACGTATGATTTGTGACATCTGAGTAGAGATGTCTGAGTTGGTATGACCGCCTTAGAAGTTAGGGGTTGAGAGGTCAGCTCATTCACTCGACCTTAGCTGTCCCAACTGGAACCTATATTCTGATATTATATTGTAGACCCTTATTGACGATCAGCGCCCGATCTGCTAATGGGCCGAGCTTAGCCTTGACTAATTTTTGTTATCATCAAGTTCTATTGTAATTTCAAAAATAATGACTCTATTTGCATTAACGAAGAATAATTTGTTTAAACAATTGTTTAAAAGTAAGTTCATCTAACTTTCTTTTAATTAGCATCAGTAATCAATTTTATATGTCTTCATTCTATTGTATTCGTGCTTAAGGTATTTTACAATTTTTTAAAAAATTTTAAAAATATGTTTTTAGTGACTTGAACAAGACACAAAAATCTAACGACACAACACAATGAAAGTTATTTAACGAACATTAATGGATGAAATTCTTTTTGGATCACAAATGTAAAATATTTAAATTTTGAGGGTATAATTTATAATTAGTCTAAACTTTTTTAATAACAAAATGGATGACAGCTAGTACCAAGTGCACATTGATATGACTTTGTATCTTTCAAGGTGTTTTTAAATTTTGAGAGTATAAATTGATATTCGAGTGGTCTTTTGAAGTACAAGTTGAGAATAGTCCTAAAAATAACTACTTAGTGCACATCTCCCAACCAAGTCATTCCACTCACGCTTAATATACAGCCGCTGAATGCTGAATAGGCCAATGAAGAGTCTCAAGCTCAATTCAACAGGTCAGTATCATCAAGCCAGAATTCTACATTAGCAAATCAATTGTATGATTCAAAGATGTATATATGGGCCGTTATATTTGATAATAGACTTTGGTTTAAGTGGGTAATTAGGAACTCGATCATGAGAATTTTATAAAAAAAAAAAAAACAAGTGTATCATTAAGATCAGCTGCTTAAAATTCCAACAATATAATTAATTGATCAGCACGTATCAATGGTTCCATTCATTTTTTGTGTTGTGATAATAGAAGTAGAACGCCCATAACTGGAGAGGAGTCAAACCCAATTAACAAGGAACAATACTATTTAACCCAAATTCGTATCTCAAATATGCATCCCAAATGAATGGAGATCATTGGATGAGTGGGTTCCATCAATTTTTTTAATTGGGACCCACTGATCCAACCATCTTTATTGATTTGGGACGCACAATTGGGATACAAAATTAGGATATATAGCATTGCTCATTAACAAGTATTACTTGACCTAGTGTTTTGCGTTGATTTTAGTTGTGTCCGTAAGTCCACAACGCATTCAAAACCGTTAATAATTCTGGCCACTAAAATATTTATATTTGTTTTCGGAAGCAATTAAATATTTTATGTTAGTTTGAATAAGTTTAAATTAATCTCCATGAATCCATCACTATTCTTAAACATGCATAATTCAACCACAACACACACACATAGAGAAAGAGAAAGAGAGAGAGAGAGACGAAATTTCTGCTCAGGGAAGGAGAGTCCAAATTTCTGTCCTGCAAAACCCAGGCAAATCTAACTCTATTTACTAGCACTATTCGTAAGAAATAGGCCTTCCATGCCGCCTTCTAGTTCCATGGACTTCTCTAACTTATTTCTATTGTATTTTCTTTTGTCCTATGACATCCACTCTTTCCGTGGTATCATTGACATATGAGAGAGAGAGTTTTGGAAATCTGCATATATATATAAAAAATAAAGTAACTTACAATTCAAATTTTAAAAAATAAACAAAATGACTTTTATTTTTTGTGGTTCAGATCATTTTAAATTTTACTTTAAAGTTAATTTAACGGCTAATATTAACATCCTAAATTTAAAAGAAAAAATAGACCACAAAGGGTGTGTTTGGAGTAACTTTTTAAAAATATTTCAACGAATTATTTCTCATAAATACTTTTTAAAAAAAATTGTGTTTGAAACCGCTCTACCACTACCTCCACCCCCACCCCTTTTACCGCCACCACCGTCGCCGACACCGCAGCTGTCATCGTCGCCACTGCCACCTCCACCGTCACCTCCGCCGCCACCACCACCACCCCCAACAATCGCTATCGCTACCGCCACCGCCACCCCCACCACCGTCACCTCCGCCACCGCCCCCAACAATAGCCGCCACCGCCACCACCACCACCACCATGGCCACACCATCACCACCACAACCACCACCATCGCCACAACCACTAACACCACTGTTGCCGTCATCGCCGCCACAGTCACAACTACCGCTACCACCGTCATTGCCTCCCACCACAACCATCATTGTCTCCTCTCACCACCTCTCACTCCTACTACAACTGATGCTTAAATTTATTTATCTCTCATCTATGCTTGTGATTTAATTTTGGATATGAATACAAATATATTTATTATTTTTTATTTTTTATTACTCTATGCCTTCAGGCACAGACAATAACTAATTTATATAATGAAGTAACTTACAATTCAAATTTCAAAAGATAAACAAAAAGATTTTTGTTATTCGTGATTGAGATCACTTTAAAATTTACTTAAAAGTTAATCAACGGCTAATATTAACATCCTAAATTTAATAAAAAAAAATAGGTTCATAAGGGTGCGTTTGAAGTGACTTTTTAAAAGTACTTCAACAAATTATTTCAAATAAATACTTTAAAAAAATAATATTTGAAACCGTCCCACCACTACATTTATCACCACCACCCACCACCACCGTTGAAATCATTTAATCAAACCTCATCCAACAAGCAGATTAATGGAAAAATAATAAAAATATAAGTTACACATCTCTCAGATGATGATTACAAAAAACAAAAAAAACAAAAAATTTGAGATGTAAAGTACAGAATGGACCTTAAGAATGAGTTTCCTTATTAATAAAAAACAAAAAAAAAAAAGTAGGAAAAAAAACACATTCCCAACCTCTTGAGTAATGTCGGCCCTTTCAAACTTTTTTTCTAGAAAATACTGCACCTAAAACAATCTCTTAACCCAAAAAAGACCGAGATGCACACATAGATAATTAATAGTTACATATTCACAAAACAAACAGGAAATAGAGAAATAAAAGACTGAGGATAAAGACATCGAATTACTAGAAGACCATGGGAGGGTAAAAGGATGGGGATGTCAAGCAGTAATATTGATCAGAGATAAATAAGAGGGAGGGAGGGAGGGTGGGTGGGGTCAAGGGTGGGTTGTTTTATAAACGCAACAGTATTACAACTTTTTTTTCTCTCGTGTCATCTGAACCTTGCCTTCTAGCTATGGGAGGCCACACCCATTTAGGGTTAGGGTTAGGGATCCAAACATTTACATTTTACATATTGTCAGGTTATTCAGGTTGAAAATGAGTTACACACGTTTGTGTCAACCCCAATTAAATACACAAGTTAATTGGGGCACTTTTGGGTTATTTAGGTTGATTCAAATACGACTCATTTATACTTTGTGTTGGCGGGAGTCATATCATACGTGAATTTGTGGTTGACATTCATAGTTTTGCAGGCAATGAAGCTAGGATGGGATTGGCATGAAATGGATCTGCCTGCCATTGGCTCCCTGAATGTCAAGCCAATATGTCATGTCATCTAAGAAGCAATTGTCAAGAGTGTTCGGTAACCTTCCTACTTGGCATGAAGGGAGTCAAGCAAGTAGGCACGCAAACCGCCCATAATCATATATTTTTCGAACAATTAATGCAATCATCTTCTGTATGTTCAGGGTCAAGGACGAACAAATTCAAATCCTGTCCAGACTCTTGAGGTACAAAATCTGTCCATACTTGATATAAAAATTATACATACATAATACATGTCAGCCATTGATTGTTGTTGTAGTGAACAATTACCAACCATTCTTTCCCACCAAACAAACAACTGCCTACAATAATCCTTCATTCACCTTCTTCTGCATGGAATGAAACCCATATACTTCGTGCAAGATCATTGAGAGGATGAAATGATGACATTCTACTAGAAAGTAGAAAGCAGTTAACTTTTTTCCCATTCTCTAGTGCAAACCCTCTCACCCCTCAACAGATGAATGAATTTATGGTGTCATAGCTCAAGAGAAATCACGGCGTTCCTTTGACCTAGAAGAATAGATAGGTGAAACAGCCTATTTTCGTTTGTCAACTGGTGGGGTGGCAGATCTCTTCCGCGAAAATCCTGTGGGACAGAATTGATACTTTTTTCTTGTCATTCAAAGTGGTAACTCTCCCACACTGTCAAAAGAATGACTCTTGTCCCGAGTACACACTAACTTTGGACATTAAATAGGGCTTTATTGGCTTGTTAATACTTGATTTGTATGTTCTTCGTGGGGACTAGACCATTCACTTATCCTAGTCTATTGACTAAAAGACCATCGTACAAGCGCATCCACCAACAGTTACCACCACCTGAGGATGACTCTCCTCTCACAACGGAAATTGGCATCACACAACAGAGCTCACTCAGTCGCTGCATCCAAATCCGCAAGATTAAGACATACTAAAAGAAAACTGATAATTGATATACCAAAAGCTAAAGAAGGCCTTCTTAACCAGTAAGAAACCCATGCTTGTTGGGTCTTGAACTCAGTCACGCAATACAGCAGGTGCTAGAGCAGAAAGTCTAGCCATATATGGCCAGCAAAAGCACGTACCTCTTTGGCTGAAGCTGAAATTTAGGAAAGGCTGCAGTTTTACTGGTAAATTTTGTTTAGAAAGTGCAGATAACTCAAATAAATTCATTTCAATCACATATACAGCCTTGGTCACTAACACACCCACCAAGACCCGTTATGCATCACTGGTTCCTCCAGCTCCACAATGCATCATTTCTTTCACCTGGCCCTCACAACATAATAAATCCAACTCGAGACACAAAAACACATACACACATTGCGGACCGATTAAATCGGATATTCTTGTTCTTTGTATTGGTGGGAGGAAAGCAAGCTTGTTCATCACAATTCAATTAGATTCACTGATAATACAGCTTTTGTTCTGCCATAAGGCTACTTGACATAATCCAACAAAATCCCATAGCTGATAATTACTAATTTTTTCTTTTCAAGCTATACACCAGTACAAAATCATACGTCACTATAGGCATTAGAAATGATGCTTCCGGCAGTCTGCCTGAGTCACTTCACAAAACTGGTGCCATACTCACATCCACCAAGCCCAAAGAAATCAATCCTGCACTCCTTTTATCAGAATAGTCCATCAATATCATAATACACTAATAAAGCAATAAATTTAAATTGGTAACAAAAGCTGAAAAGCAGATATTCCGGCCTTAACAACCAGATCAACTTTTTACTCTTTAAGCCTCCATATGACAAAGAGTAAATGCAACACAAGGCTAACCAAGCTCAGGCAATAAAGATTCTTAACAGGGATCCCAACAATGAGGCTTCATGTTGAGTGTTTTAGCTTAGCAAGTTGATCCAATGCATCTTTAAGGGGTTCTCTCAGTTTGCTTTTCTTGCCCTGGAAACAATGAAATTGTAAACAGCAGCTTTCGAAGATTAAAGAGTAAAACAAATACCAAATCCTTTATCTGAAAAGCATTGTTTCAATTATAAGATATCCTAGCATTTAATCACACAATCATCCATTCCAAAGATTCCTCCTTTAAACTTGACCCAACAATGAAAGTGCAAAGGCTAAATCGGAATATTAATCATCAACCTTAAAACTGCATATTGGTAACTTCTAGATAGCAGCTTTGCAATGAAAACACACAAGCAAACACGTAATCAAATCGCACCATAACAGCTTGTGAGAAAAAAGGGAGTGAAACCTTTATAAGAGGACTAATACATCAACTCTCTGAGCAGAAAATATTTAAAAAATTTCCCAAGTCCATGTTTCAATGAGATTAAGAACCAAATAATTTCTATAGTGTTTACTTCTCCCACTCTTTCCTCTTGCATTCATGCAAACAACTTCAGAAATTCCTGACAAAGCATCAAAGTCTAACAACCTTAACATACCATCTCAACTTAATTGGAGATACCTGGCCCTACCATTTGTCAATCTGACAGTGAAATAGATAACAAAGCTACAAATATAGGCCAAAATACAATGGTTTTCTTTCATAGATGATGAAAGCGTCTTTATGGAGTCCCAAATGGAGAAGAGCAGGAAAGAGAAAAGGGAAAGTCAAACAGGGCCTATAAACCCAAATATGACCCTTTTTTTGCAGATCACTAGTATAATGCATTTACACATTGAGTTACTAAAGAAGCCAACCTTTGGTCTCCTAGAAAGAATGGAAGGAAGGGCAAGGGCTATATCTCTCTATTGGTAGAAAGATGTAGATCTTTATCTCTAATATTGTGGACAGTGAGAAACAGTTTAACTTCTTTCTTGATGGTACATCAAATATTTGCAAGCACGTGAAGGAACTAGTGTAGGAAGCATTTATGCAGTTATCTAAGTCCTAATAATATAATCCTCTAGAGTATAAAAAGATAATAGCCAAAATTCCAGAAAGAAACTCACAGAACCACAAAAAAGCAACCATTTTCCAACACCAATACTAGTGGGCCATCAAAAATATATTAATCCAAAAGCTAAAGAGCTATTTATACCGCACCTTCAAGGATGGGACAAGAGCAAAAACTTCTTCCACAGATTCTGGACCTACATTGGCAATCATGGACACCTGCAGTCACAAAGATGAAATAAAGTACACCACGACTATTGAAAATCAAGTATTCCGGGTTAAGATTAATACCTCGCCATCAGAAACATTGTGCAATTTGAGAGCACTATTTCTAAGTTAATGGATCAACAGCAGAATGCTCAAAAACAATTTTTTTCATTAATTTTTCAACGTGAGGTGCCCCAATAGCAAGCTACTGTGGTGGGCCCTCCCCTCAAAAAAATAATTTAATATCGTGTGGCCCATTGGGCCATGTATGAAATATTAAACTGATAAGAAAAGATATTATACATGAACTTAGTCAAAAACAAATTAACAACAACTCGAGCAAACGTCAATCTCTGGACACTGCCGTCTTACCCAAAAAAAAAAAATAGCAGTAACAAAACTAGTAATCATCATCGTTATGAAAGAAAAGGATACTCAAGCACTCGTCTAACAGGGTGTGGACTTATATAATGGCTACCCCTCTTGGCATACTGTAGTCCCCTGTCAAATGAACTGAAAATGAACAGATTGTTAAATCTCTTAAAACCAGATTAACTTCTCATTTAACTAACAAAGAAGTACATGAAATGCTTTTTTAAATAAAAAAGGCATTCCTAAACAACAATACGAAGCATAAAATGTATTACTCACATGGGGATTTTAATTGCCGGATCTTCAGAAAGTATGACCATTTGCTCTTGGATTCCTTGTAAAATTTCTGCAGCTTCACAGTCCATCAAGCATTTAGCGTTCTCCGGAAGTTCTGCCCATATTTCAATAGCTACCATTAAAAGCACACACATTTGCATAACATAAATAACTGCACTAGCAGTACCTTTCAGAAATGCTACTACCACTAAAAGAATAAAAATTAATAGATTAGAAGGCTAGAAAGACCTAACCCAGCAAAACATACCCCAAAACCCAATGTTTTATTATACAGACCCTCACAACGTATACATAGTCAGAGATTGCTCAATTATGTTCAGCTTGCTCTTCAATTTTACAGAAATATACCCCAACAGAAAAAAGAATTGCAATGGAACAACATAAGGCGTGACTAATATTTGAAAAATTATGATTGGAAAACAAAATTAATTCCATTAAACTATATAAAATAGCAAGGAGACAAATACAATTTCAATAAAAATTGAAAAACATAGAAAAACCAAGAAAATTATACTATCGCGTAGTGTCAATTATCCAACTATGGATAAATAAACCATTGAGACTTTTCCAAACTATTTGGGATAGCTTACCTGATTTTGTTTCGATATTGTGCTCTAGTAAAGGTTATGTTTTCTGTTAAATCGCAGACAAACTAACCACAACCAATGTATTAAACAAATAAGGTATCTTCGAACTTCTCTTTTTTTTTCTTCCCTTTTTTTCTTTTCTTTTTTGGGGGGTGGAGGGAAGGCTGTGTGTTTGTGTGTTTGTAAAAGAGAGAGGGAGAGGGAGAGGGAGAGGGAGAAGGAGTGCCTGTGTTTAGCCAAAAAAATGCACTAACCATGCTCAATTTTGAGCTCCAGCGGCGGAGGTGCCTTTACCACAGGGACTTCACCACCATTTGCAATTTTATCTCCTTTCCCCCCTTTGCCCCAATCTCCTTGAAAATTTAAGAATTGTGCAGAGGATTAACACAAACACAACCATGTCTATGACCATATAATATTAAGGATCCAAACCAAAAAAAGAGTAAGAAAATCAAACCTCTGGCAACTGGTTTATCAACTTTCCCACCAGATTTTGAGGACATGCTAATTTTGGCTTCTGATGAATTCAAAATATTTACAGCAAAATTTAAAAGGGAGGGAGGAGGGTAAATGAGTAATGAGAATAGAAAAACATGTTCTACGTGAAGTCTGAACAAGTAAAGAATGACCATATACATCTCCAATTCTCTATAGTATCAGGAAAAAGAGGTATAACCTTCGGCATCAAACTGTACTTTTCTTCCCCTCTTTGACTTTGCTGTGCTATCATCCTTCCCTTTGAATGATGCTATGTAAAGGAATTTTCAGAAATAAATTGTCTTCAACATTAGAGTTATTGGCTCATCATATAGAAAAAAAAAATCAATTTGAAACAACATAAATTAAGCATAAAAAGGCTACATATATCTCAATAGTAATCCACACATCAGAGCATGTTTCATGCATCCAAACTGCAAAATATAATCTAAGTTCAAATTTTTTTAAATGCTCAGCAATCAGTTCTCCCATTTACATGTTTTCCAATTGGTTCTAGCATGTAATGATTGGCTAAACCATAAGAATACCCAAAAACATAGAAAGATACATTTGAACGCATGATAGATTAAAGATAAAAATAAGTTACTGGAAAAATAGGTGAGAGTTACCAGGAGATTTGAGAGAAGATTTTCCACCATTAGAAAGTGAAAACCCCTTTTCACCTTTCTCTGCCATTTGCAGCTGCTAGTGCTGCAAAACATACGAAGTCTCAGGTCGAAATCATCTAATCAAACCTCATCCAACAAGTAGATTAATGGAAAAACAATAAAAATATAAGTTAGACCTCTCTCAAATGATGATTACAAAATAAAAAAAAAAGAATTTTTTTTTAGATGTAAAGTACACAATGGACCTTAAGAATGGGTTTCCTTATTAATAAAAAACAAAAAAAAAAAGTAAGAAAAAAAAACACCTTCCCAACCTCTTGAGTAATGTCGACCCTTTCAAACTTCTTTTCCAGAAAATACTGAACCCAAATAATTCTCTTAACCCAAAAAAGACCGAGATGCACACATAGATAATTAACAGTTACATATTTGCAAAACAAAAAGGAAATAGAGAAATAAAAGATGGACGATGAAGGCATAGAATTACCAGAAGACAATGGGGGGGGGGTAAAAGGATGGGGAAGTCCAACAGTAATATCGATCAGAGATAAATAAGAGGGAGGGAGGGTGGGTGGGGTCAGGGGTGGGTTGTTTTACGAACACAACAGTATTATAACTTTTTTTCTCTCGTGTTGTTTGAACCCTGCCTTCTAGCTATGGGAGGCCACGCCCTTTTAGGGTTAGAGTTTGGGTTAGGGATCCAAGTATTTACATTTTACATATTGTAAGTTTATTCGGGTTGAAAATGAGTTACACAAATTCGTGTTAACCCAATTAAATACACAAGTTAATTGGGTCATTTTTGGGTTAATTGGGTTGAATTCAAATACGACCCATTTATACTTTGTGTTGGCCGCAGTCATATCATACGTGATTTTGTGTCAAAAAATAAACTCAAACTCATTTATTTGTGTTGTGTTCATATCGAATTAAAAATTGTCACCCCTTCGCAATGTGGCATCTATCTGGCTCAATTGTTTTATTTATTTATTTATTATTAAAATTACTTAGAGTTCACTTGTTTTATTTATTTATTTATTATTAATCAATAAACCATGTAATAAAACTAATGTGGTGCACTGCAATATCATTCAATCGTTTAATTGAATGAATGTTAGTTAATCTTTGAAGAAATTTCAATACAATTACAAATAAATGACATCGGTTGAGGTTGAGGTTGAGGAAGGCGTAGGCCAACCCCACCTTGTTTCTTTTCTTTTTTTGTTAAGAAATAATTAGATACAAGGAGAGAGTGTAATAAAATTAAACATCTACATTTACATTTTCTATTCCTACTTTTAATCCTGCTTTTACCCGCTGTTGTGAGGCATCATTATTGTCCATATCAATGATTATTTGCCTCATAACCAACGGGGGAGGTTTTCAACATTGATGGTTCCTGATAATTGTTCCTCAGCCCCCACCTTGTTTCTTTTCAATAAATTCGTATGATTTACTTATGCTCGTCCGTCGTCACCATAGTTTTAAAACCCGGCCCAGACGTCAACCTGACAAAGGGACCGGGTCAATAGGTCATTGATTCAACCGGGGGGTCACTGGTCGGATCGGTAATATATTAAAAAATTAAAAAATAATTATAAATACTAATAAATAAGCTAAAAAAATCACAATAATTATAAAAATAACATCAAAAATGTAACGTTAAGTAGAAAAAAATCATCAAACATGTATCTAATTTCAATGTATTTCAGTTTTCAATACAACTTGTAAAGTTGAGAAGAGAAAAATACCTTTATTGAAATTCAAAGCTCCAAGTCTAAGTCCAACTCTTCGACAATGCATCAATCGAAGCATAATCCATGTAATTTGCACTCTTCAAAGTTCAAACTTCAAACTCAAAACTCAAACTGTGGGATGCAATCATGCAAGACACATGAAAACAAAACGAAGCACATGAGCATAACATAAGGACTCAACTAAACAAAATTAAAAATCAATTATCCAGCCACTGCATAGTTCCACTTGAAAATACAAATTATTACCACTATTATCAATTAACTTGAAATTGCTTCTGTAAATTAGATTGCATCACAGCTAGTAAAATAATCAAACACTTAAAATTATCCGACCACTGCTTAGTTCCACTTGAAAATACAAATATTACCACTATTATCAATTAACTTGAAATTGCTTCAGTAAATCAGATTGCATCACAACTAGTAAAATAATCAAACACTTAGATCAGAATTCTGCAAATCATATTGCATCATAACTCATAAAATTATCAAAATTACATCATTACTCATTCTAAAATATTTTTTTTGTTAGTACCAAGATAATCAAAACATCAAATGGACAACCATTCAAAGTGCAAAATCAACACATTCAGTTATATATCAGCTGGGTTCATCCTAGGCTTCAGAGAAACTTGCACATAATCCAAAAAATCGAAAAACACACTCAAAAACACAAGCCCAGAAAAAAGAAACTGATTGCCAAGTGACTATGATAAACAAATGAAAAACAAAACAGGGAGGAAAAATTCTTCATTTCAAGATCAACAACAATAATTTCTTATATAACACTTGGCCTGTAAAATAAACACATAAAATAGTCAAACTGCGTAATCTAAAAACCACAAAAAATAAAATCTAAAGTAAGACATCGAGGTGGTCTCAGGTGTTATCACATCAAGAGGGGGAAAAAGTTGGTATTTTTACCTACAAAAACGGTGATTCTGAGAGAGACCCAGAATCAGAAAGTGAATCATCTTCCCCAGAAAGAAAACTTTCAATATAGTGACTGATTACAGTCACTGAGAGAGAGAGAGAGAGAGAGAGAGGGAAGGGGGGAGGGAACTCACCTCGTCGCAGGTGGAGGCTGTGCCCAGTCGTTGGTGGAGCTATGCTCTGCTCAGTCGCTGGTGGAGCTCTGCTCAGCCGCTGCTGCCTGGTTGTCTGGATCGATTTAGAGCAACTGGAGGTCTCGATCGATTTAGGGCAAATGAGCAAAATGCCCAAAAAGTGCTAAAAACCACCTTTTATCGAAATCATTTTAAACCGTCCGGTTTTGTTAACTCCCCCGCTTCTAACAGGTCCACCGATTTTTGACCTGTTCCACGGTTTAATCCCAATTTTTAGGCACAAATGATCTTTTATGAGAAGTGGCCCGGTTGGAGAACCAGTTCACCGAGTTGACCCATCAGGCCGGACAAGATTTTAAAACTATGTTTCATCACTAGTGGTGCAGTGTAACTGTAATTAACGAAACAAAAGGAATTACGTGTAGCATCAGTCAGTAATTAGTTGAGTGTTCATCAATTAATTACCCATCATGTACCTGGACCCACATCTTGAGATCAATTAATTGATCAAATTTTCGTTTACACGGGACGACATCTAATCACATTAGCCCATTGTTACTACTTATATATGATTAATTAATACAATTAAATTTTATTTTTTTTTTGAACATAGGATAACTACAATCACTCACACTTAGCAAGTGTGAGAGCTATAGTATCTATTTAAACACAACACACACCCTAAGGCTATCCGATGTGGGATAGCCCCAGCCCTTACCCACCCAAGCCCTAAGGCCTCATCCAACCTATGGTCAGGCCCATAGACGAAAGAAACTGAGCCCACAATCAGAGTCACCCTAGAACACACATGAACCAGTATTCTTTTTTTTTTTAAACATAGGATAACTACAATCACTCACACTTACCAAGTGTAAGGGTCATATCATCAATTAAAACACAACACACACTCTAAGGCTATCCGATGTGGGAAAATTCAATTAAATTAAAAGAAGAAGAATCATGTTGATGTGTGATGCTGATACAGTGATGTTGATGTGTAAATGCATAAGTATACCATGATTTGTTGATGCATTTGAACGACAGAAAATGTGTGAAAAGATCTCAAGAGCAATCTCTTATGGGATTTTGACAATTGGCTTTTACACTTTGAAGTTGCTTGTTTTGTTTATCTTTTTTCCCCCTATTGTGCATATGAGTTCTAATGGTGTATTCTGTGTGGTTGAGTAAAAGTACTAGATTGGGGATCTGTTGATGGGGTTTATTGGAATATTCAGTCAAAACTTCTAGGTTGTTGGTGGTTGAACAATCAATTCAGGAATGATAGTTGTGATCATAAATAATAGACGAGAGATTTATAGTGGTTCACTAGTTCGGAAGCTCAACTAATCCACTTAATGGAGTCTTTTGCTCCTGTGAGAATTTTCTTTTACTTGGGGAAGAAGGCTACAGAATTACAAGGGGGTCAATGTTTGTATGTTTGATTGATTACAATGTGAGGATTTGATCCCCATTTATAGTATGTTGTAGTCTGGCGTAATCATCTCGATCCTTGCGTGATCAACGTGAGCATTGCTCATTAACAAGTATTACTTGGCCTAGTGTTTGGCGCTGATTTTTGCTGTGTCCGTAAGTCCACAACGCATTCAAAACAGTTATATTTTTTTTTTGAAGTAATTAAATATTTTACATTAGTTTGAATAAGTTGAAATTAATCTCCATGAATCCATCACTATTCTTAAATATGCATAATTCAAGAACAAACAGAGAAAGAGGGCGAGGGAGAGGGTGAGGGAATTTCTTCTCAAGGAAAGAGAGTCCAAATTTCTGTCCTACAAAATCCAGGCAAATCTGGCTCTATTT